TTAATCACATATTTCCTAATGTTAGATCGTACAGTATTTCTTTGTTCTGCTTGAACAACTACTGCCTCTTGGTTCTGCACAAATATGTTTACATGTTACTGAATTCCAATTCTTTGCAATATTAAATAGAATTTATTATTATACCTACAATTGAATACCTTTGTATAATAATAATAGTAATAGTTTTTTAAACCCACAAGTAAAAAAACCTGTCTGGTATTCTCTGATTTCAGCCAAGATATAGATGATGTCAGCAATTATATCCCTTGTTTCATGTCCTTTATGGAATTCAATCTGAATTTCTGCCATATTTCCCTGTTTTCCCCAGGCATTCTGGGTTCTCTTCAGCATGAATGTATCCAACAGCACTGCATTTGGTTTTGGAGACATCTCAGTTGGTGTTACACCAATTACTTCCCCACTTGAATGCTAATGCTTTAGTTCAGCTTGAACTGCTTCACTTTATTCAGTACCATCAGTTCTTGGTCACATGCAACCTCCAGAAATGGTTGGAGATCTTCAGTTGTATTAATTCTTTTTATATAATGACTCAATTTATTCCTTCAGTCTTATTATGTTAACTGAAGCACATGTTTCATTTAGTTTTTTGCATATTGCAATTTGAAGTTTGAAATGTTTTTCTTCATTTCTTTCAGCTTGAGGAATAACAAATGTGTTCATCCCTTTTTGTTTTCTAACTCCAGGTCTTTGCAGATTCCAAAGACCTTTTTCTTCTTAAGTTGTCCTTTGAAATCTTCTCTTCTCTTTTTTTCTTCAACTTTTTTTCAATATTTTTTTTGTGTGTACTGTCAAATCAGACCTGACTGGTACAGGACGAGATTGAAATCTTCTCATCTCTTTTACTTCATCTTTTATTTATTTTTCTTTGGCAGTCGATAGAACAGAGCAAGGAAACACTACATGGTTCAAAATTGGGAAGGGCGTACATCAGGGATGTGTCCTATCTCCATACCTTTTCAACCTGTATGCAGAACAGATCATGTGGGAGGCTGGGCTCTATGAGGAGAAATGTGGCATCAGGATTGGTGGAAGATCTATTAACAATCTGCATCATGCAGATGACACAACCCTGCTTTCTGAAACTGAGGAGAACCTGAAGTGCTTGTTGCAGAGGGTCAGGGACTGCAGCCTTCAATATGGATTGAGGCTCAATGTCAAGAAGATAAAGATTCTCACCACTGGGCCAATTGGCAGCATCAGGATGGATGGTGAAGAGATTGAGATTGTTCACAGCTTTAGTCTGCTTGGCTCCACAATCAACACTCTTGGCACCAGCAGCCAGGAAATTAAAAGATGTATTGCGATGGGAAAGTCTGCTGTTAGGGACCTCTCTAAAGTACTCACGAGCAATGATGTGTCTCTGGAGACTAAGGTGCATCTGATACGGCCTTGTTATGCATCAGAGAGTTGGGCAATGACCAGGGAGGATAGAAGGAGAATTGATGCTTTTTTTTTTTCTTTCTTTCTTTTTTTTTTTTATGGAAAAGTAAAAGAAAAGATTCTTTCATTGTTTTACAAACACTCCCCCAGGTCCCCTCCACCATGCAGCCCTCGCTCTAGTCTCCTGTGATGACAGAAATACCCAGTTACATCTCTCTTTTAGACGGTTCTCTCCCTCCTCTGTTTCAGTGCAGTGTACATTATTGAACCCATCTTACTCAGTCTCTCCCCAACCCCAAGGACAGTCCCATTCTACAACAGTGGCATCATGTAATATTTGTCCTTTTGTGACTGGGATATTTCACTCAGCATAATGTTCTCCAGGGTCAACCATTTTGAATAATATTGCATGAGTTCCTTGTTTTTTAATGCAGCATAGTATTCCATTGTGCGAATATACCACAGCTTCTCTAGCCATTCGTTTGTTGATGGGCACTTAGGTTGTTTCCAACTCCTTGCTATTGTGAACAAAGCTGCAATAAACATGGGTGTGCATATATCTGCTTGGATGTCAGCTATGGTCTCTTCAGGGTATATTCCCAGTAGTGGAATTGCTGGGTCAAATGGTATCTCTATTTGCAACTTTTTGAGAAAGCGCCATACTGCTTTCCACAGGGGTTGCACCATTTTACACTCCCACCAACAGTGAATCAGGGTTCCAGTTTCTCCACAACCTCGCCAGCATTTGTTGCTTGCTGTTCTGTTAAATTTTGCTATTTTGACTGGGGTGAAATGATATCTCATAGTTGTTTTAATTTGCATCTCTCTTAGGGCTAGGGATTTTGAGCATTTCTTCATGTGCTTGTTAGCCATCTGAATGTCGTCTTCGGTGAAGTGCCTGTTCATATCCTGTGCCCATTTTTCTATTGGATTATTTACCTTTATCTTGTTGTGGTGCTCAAGTATTTCATAAATTCTGGATATAAGTCCCTTATCTGATATGTTATTACCGAATACTTTTTCCCAGTCAGTGGCTTCCCTTTTTACCCTACTGGAGAAGTTTTTGGATGTGCATAGAATTGATGCTTTTGAGCTTTGGTGTTGGAGAAGAGTGCTGAGAGTGCCATGGACTGCTAAGAAAACAAACAGATTCATCCTGGAGAGGGTTAAATCAGGATGCTCCTTGGAGGCAAGGATTCTGAGGCTTTGTCTGACATACTTTGGTCATATTGTAAGAAGGGACTGGTCCTTGGAGAGGAATATCATGCTTGGAAGGGTGGAGGGCAGGCGCAGGAGGGGAAGGCCCTCTGGGAGATGGATTGATTCGGTGACTGGGGCAATCGGGATGGGTGTGTCGGAGGCAATGAGATTGGCACAGGACAGAGCAGAGTTTAGAGCTCTTGTACATAGGGTCGCTATGAGTCACAAACGACTCGACGGCACATAACAACAACTCTAAAGAGCAAATTTCAGAGTCTCTTCTGACATCCATTTTAGTATTTTTTCCTCTCTGTCTTATCTTTTTAATGACTTTCTGCTTTTCTTCCTTTTATTCCAGAATTTATCTGGTGTTTGGTAGTAAGTGTTCAACTCATCACATCTTGTCTTGAAATGGTCTATAAATAGATGGGATATGCTCAAGCTCTCACTCTCGCTCTCGCTTTAACTTGAATTTCCATATAAGCAGTTAATGTTGTGTTTGGCCATTAGCCTCTGGTCTCGTTTGAGCTTGCTTCATCATCATTCCCATCTCGACCCACGCATGTTCTTTATTTGATTTCTGTGTGTTCTATCCTTTGATGTTCACATATATAATTTATATTTTTTATAGTTTGTGTTTTTGACAAAAGGTATTTCCAATGAATTAGTGGTTATTCTTACAAAACTCTATCATGTGATCTCTCACTTTGTTTTTTTTCTCTCCAAGTTCATATTTCCCAATCTTCTTTTGATTTTTTCCATGTTATTTAGTTTCCAATCACCAGTATTTATCAGTACATTCTTTTAAGATGCATTATTGTTCCAGATAGGGTGTTTGTCCTACTCTGGTCTGAATGAACACAGAAGAGGAGAACTTAAGAATTCATAGTTAGAGAAAAATTTTCCTCTTGCTCCTTGAATAAGGAAGCAAATATTCAAACTGTAATTGGAAGCCATCTTGCGACTAGAAACCAGTCTTAGGGTGAAGGATTGTTGTTGTTGTGTTTGTTGTGTACCATAGTTGGAACCAACCCATAGCTAACTAACCCTCTGGCAACTTTTCAGAAGCAATTAATAGCATGACAGGAGATTGCCCATCCACCCACGGAGACTCTGGGGGCCTTGAACTGCATTCCTTTGTGATTGCAGCTCAGTTTCCTGCAACTAGACCACCCGAGTAGAATTAGCTACTCTTGGCATTTGTTCTATCTCTGAAATTCCTACTGTGAGAGATAATAAATGTCCTTTACTATTTAAACCAAGTTTCCAGTGCTTGTTACAGGCATCTGAGAACATCTCAATTTCCTAACAGCTATTTTACATTATGCTTATTATAAAAAAAAGGTTTGTATCAGGTTGGGTTATCTACACTTGGAAAACAACCCTCCCTCCCCCGTAAAAAACCTCAATATATTATTTTAATGTAAAATTATTTCGGAAGGTTTAGGCAATTGTAAGAATAAAGAGGCTCTGCCTTGATTGGAATGATATATATCCAAACGTTTAACATGGAATCTATGACTGTATAAATCAATTCTTCATTACCTGATTTTATTCCTTTAAATTTCAATGAAGATATGAAAAAGCAACTCAGTAAACTTTCTTTCTTAGTGTATGAGGGTTGCAAGCCCAAATCTCAATTCCTACATTTATAACATGAGCCGATGCCATTTGTGCCCTTCTAAAAGCAAACATTAGGAGCTCAAGAGCAATACGTGCCACAGCAAGTCATCACTGCAGGGGGAGAAACCTGCGACTGGAAACACACACTATTGAAACAGTCCTACCTGTCACAGGGCCGTGGAGGAAAAAGATGAAGCAATCATAATCTACTCTAAGAGTGAGTTTTGAGACATCACAGTCCAGTCTCTACCCATACATACTTGCAGGGCAGAATAGAATGAATTTACATCCACAAAACTTTCCCTCCATTCTCATTAAATTGAGGATTTCAGATATTTCTCTTTGGGGACTGGGCTCTTCTTTGCTCTCTACCAGTTGCTCCTCTTAGCAGATCCATTCAGCAGAAACAGCAGGCTTTGGCAGAGTATCCTAGTACTCTGTAGAGAAGCTGCCTCAGAACTGTCAAAGGAGCCTGGTTAAATGGATGTAAACTCCATATATTTATAAGGCTTTAGATGAATGAAGGGCCCACCCCAAATTCCAAGTTATAGCAATCATATTCTCTCCCATGATGCAAGATGCTGTTCCTAAATTAAGGTCGTCACCCAAGGCCTCAAGTTCCCTTGAATATCCAGCTCTCTTCCAATCCCTGTGCATCCACAAGATTCTACAGAGATACCAGCAAGACTTGAAGGCAAACAAATTATTTCCCATTTGCTTCCCTCCAGATTCTGTTCAGTTCTGTATGTTTTAAAGAAATAAACCCTGCCATTTACCTGTGTATTCAATGTCTTTTTTTGTAATGCATGCTCTTCTCTATCTTTTTCCATTTTCTCCTCTATTTCTTCAATACACTGTTTGTGCATTCGAATTTCTTCTTTCTTCAGGTTTATCTTGCTATAAGTCTCATTTATGTAAATAGTTGTGTCGGCTTTTTCACTCATTGCATGGTTGAGTGACAGGACAAACTTTTTATGCTGTTTCACCAATCTTTCTTGCTTTTCACTAGGCAGAAAAATAAAACCCCAAAAACAAACCCAGTCATAGTATGAAAAAAATATAGCTGATAGGAAAGACATAAAAAATTTGCTAGGTGAGAAAAATAATATTAAGAAATTGTAAAATGTCCTTATAGTTATGCTGATAATTGTCTAAACTTGGTTGTGATTGGGAAAGAAGGAAATATAAAATATAAAAGTGTCGAGCTTGCAACTATTTTTTGAATGAAAACTATCATAGTTTTCTCTTTCTCTCCACCTGTCCTTGGAGACCACAGTAGGGTTCAGATGGTGACTCTGGGATATTTTGGGTTCAATTCTACAATATTTCAGGAACAGTTTTTAAATAGGCCAATGAGAACTAGCCAGATAAATGCTGTGATAAACAGGCAGTCTTCAGGTTATGAACACCCAGCTTACTGACAACTCTTACTTGCCATTTAAGCAAAATTCCTAACCAATTTGAACAGATCTGTCATGGCCTAACATATAAAACAAGGACAGACTAGAACTTTAACAATTTTGGTGATTTGACAGGGTAACTGTAATGGGGAAATCACAGTTTGGGGGACTCGGAAGAGGTATAGTGAACTCCTTCAGGAACCTGATGTGTTCAAAAGAATATTGGCAAGACTATGGAAAGTAATATACATCAAAGTGGCACTGTGAGTGGCCATGTTTGAATAAGGGGAGGCTGAATCATCTCTACTCACTGGTGCCGAAACCTGCCTTAGTGGTAGGTCTTTAATGTTAAAATTTCCCCTTACTTTGAAACAATTGAATCAAATTTTACACACAACAAATTTTTCATTGCAAGCACTTCCAATTACTGCATGTGCAGCTTTTAAATAATTGAGAAGGCTTTGAACTTTTAGTTACACTAAACTAAGACTCAATCAGTGTGCCCATTACAAATGACTTACAAATCTGACTTAAAGATATACGTAGGAACAGATCTTATTCATAATTGTAGTATGCTTGTATGGTATTCGCTATCTTATTATCCTAAGTAGTTAAGCAAGAGAAAGATAAATATTCCATCACATCTTCTTGTTGTGAGGTGTTGTCAAGTATGATTCAAGGTGACCCTATGAACAAAAGATCTGAACCCTGTTCTATCCTGCACCATCCTCATACTTCCCAACACACAAGAGCCCATTGTGATAGTCACTGTGTCAATCCACCTGGTTGAGGACCTTCCTCTCCTTTGACAACCCTCCACCCTTCCCAGCATCATGTCCCTCTCTAAGGAGTAACTCCTCCCAGCAACACGCCCAAAGTGTATGAAGTAAAGTCTCATCTGTACCAATCTATGCCTCCAAAGAGCACTCTGGCTGCACCCTCTCCAAGATATATCTGTTCTCTTGGTAATCCATTGGGTGTTCAGTGCTATTCTCCAACACTACAGTTCAAAGATGTCAATTCTTCTTCTACCATCCTTATTCATCGTCTAGCTCTCAGATGCATAGCAAGTGATTGGAAAGAGCCTTAGTCCTCACATTTACTACTCAATTACTCCTTTATTCAATTACTCCTCAATAATTTGGAGAGATTGTTAACTGCAGATTTTCCCAGTGCAATGTGTCTCCTTATCTCCTGACTGCTGGTACCAAGGGTGTTAATTGTGGATCCAAGCAAGGTGAAGCTGTTGACAGTTTCAATCTCCTCTCCATCCATCATGATGTTGCCTATCAGTCCAATGGTAAGAATTTTCAATCCACACCAAAGCCTGCATTCCTTGATCTTCTACAACAAATGCTTCAAGTTCTCCTCACTTTCAGCAAGCAATGTTGCATCATCTGCATAACGCAGGTTATTGATGAGCCTCCCTCCAATCCCAGTACCACACTCCTCTTCATAGAGTCTAGCTTTTCAGATAATTTGCTCAGCATACAGATTGAATAGGTATGGAAAGAATACAACCCTGTAGCAAGCACTCCCTTCTCAATTCTATACCATGCAGTGTTCTCCTGCTCTGTTCGCACAATAGCCTCCTAGTCCAAGTACAGGTTCTGTGTGAGCACAATTAAATGCTCTGAGACTCTCCCATTCCTTTAAATGTCAGCCACAACTTGTTATGATCACACCATTAAAAGCCTTTGCGTAGTCAATAAAGCAAAAATAGACATTCTTCTGGTATCCCTTACTTTCAGCCATGATCCCTCTGACATCAGCAATAATATCCCTGATGCCATAGCCTTTTCTAAATCCTGCTTGAACTTTGGCAGTTCCCTATCTATGAACTCTTCTAGCCAGTTTTGAATGATCTTTGGTTGTATTTTGCTTGCATGTGATATTAATAATATTGTTCAATAGTTTCCACATTCAGTTGTTTCACCTTTTTTGAGAAAGGGAACAAATATGGATCTCTTCCAATCAGGTCAGACAGCTGTCCTCCAAATTTCCTGGCAAAAGTTGGTGAGTGCATCCACGGTTGCATCTGTTAATTGAAACAAGTTAATTGGTTTCCCATTGATTCCTGGGGCCTTAATTTTTGCCAATGCCTCAATGTAGCTTCCACTTCCTCCTTCATTACCTATGGCTCCTGTAAAAGAGCTGAACATATGGTTTCAAAGGGCAGCTCGGGAGGATAAAGCAAAGCATTATCATGGAAAATGCAGAGAGCTGGAATTGGAGAATAAAAAGGGAAGAACTCTCGCTCTGCATTTCTCAAGCTGAGACAAATTGAAAAACAAATTTAAGCCTCGTGTCACAATATTGAAGGATACTATGGGCAATATATTGAATGGCCCAGAAAGCATCAAAAGAAGATGGAGAGAATACACAGAATCACTGTACCAGAAAGAATTGATCAACAATGAAAAATTTCAGGAAATACCATATGAACAGGAGCCAACTTCTAATGCAGGGAAACAGAGGACAGAAGTTAGGGGAGGAAGGAGCACTGCATGTTACCTGTTTAGAGGTTTTTTGAAAACCAACATGAACCCTATTACTTTCTCCCAGCCACAACCAAATAGGGCTTTAGATCTACCTTACACATCTACCACTGAACATGCCCATCATGAAAGACATGTTAAGATCATAAAAAACACAGCCAAAGGTTAAGAAGAATAAAGTTTGGAGGAGGAACAATTGATATTGTCTTCTTTTTAAAGCGTTTACTACCTTTTTCCAGTGTTGGGGAGCTCGGTGGTGGAACCCGTAGTGAGATATGCCACTAACCCGAAGGCCTCAATTCTCTGGCAATTTGATTTTTTTAAATAAGGTTGCTAGGATAAAGACTGTTTCATTTCCATGGATCATGTGAAGGCCCAGGAGAATAGAAATAGGCTGTTAGTGAGTTAGGTTCCAGAAGTTGACTCAACACCAGAAATATCATAAAAAGATGTCTGAGATAGAGGCACAGTGAGAAGGAGATCAGGTAGTGGGCACTTTGTGGGTCCAGCAAGAAAGCTTTCTAAGATTGAATTAGCTGAGCTTAGTTCCGGTAGCTTCAAGAAAGCATAAAAAAGAAAATAAATTTAAAAATCTAATTAGGTGTATAGTGGTACAGCTCTCTTCTGTCAATATGCTGTACTGAGGTAACCTGGGGTTGCTGTGATTCTGAACCTTGTGTAATTGGGATGTCAGTTGCCATGACAGTTACCCATGGTGGACAATGTTTGGTGGAGCTCCCAGTTTAGGACACGTTTGGAAGCAGAAGTGGCACCCACTTCCTTAAAAAACCTGCCTCTGGAAAGTCTATGAACTTTGATAAATGTCGATAGTTATAGAAAGGCTTCAGGCCTTTTGTTCATAGAGTTGCTATGAGTTGTGCTTGACTCAAAGGCAATAATCTCCACAACAATAATTAGGTGTATTTTGCTGGTGGGAACTAGAGTGTTACAAGTTATATTCAAGGATCTGGAAGGGATCTAATGTCCAAGGATTGTCCAACAGAAGAACTGTGCTCACCACAAAGTTGTGCTCTTCATAAGTATGTGGGCACCATTAAATATAAATTCATCCTGGAGAGGGTGAAGCCAGGCTGCTCTTAGAGGCAAGGATTCTGAAACTTCATCTGAAACACTTTGGATGTTTTGAAAGGTGGGATCTGTCCTTGGAGAAGGATGTCATGCTTGGGAGGGTGGAGGGACAGTGCAAGAGAGGAAGACTCTCGATGAGATGGATTGAGTCAGTGACTGGGATAATGGGGGTAGGTGCATCAGAGACAACAAGATTGGTGGCACAGGATATAGGAGAGTTTAGGGCTGATGTACATAGGGTTGCTATGAGTCACAGGCAACTCAACAGCATATAACAAGCTCACTAAATGATCTGCTGGTAACTTGTCTTTTCATAAAGCTTTCTCTTGGTGGGGGTTAAGATAATTAAATCAGGGGTTGCTTGGACCGAGAGACTGAAACCAGAGAAAATTGTTAAAGGGGAAAGTCTATTAAATGCACATTGTGGGGGAAAAACAAGGAAAATATTCCCAAGTAAATGTTGAATTGTTCAACAAAACAAAGGTATAAGTTACTGAGTAAATGTCAACATGTTCCTATAAAGTTAGAACATTATACCTTGTAAGTATGTATGCATGTAATTTGTTTCAAGGAAAACATTCTCTTGCTAACTCAAAATTTCTAATAAGAATGCAGTCATAAAAAGGGTCATTGTAACAAACAGGATGTCTTATATAAATCTCATGATTCTTGTTAATAATTTATTTTGCTTATGTATTAGAAAACTTCTAAAAGCTATAAGGATGTACAAGTCGGGAGGACGCCCAACCATGAGATTCTCTCCCCTTAATTCTTGACTTACTAAAGTCTTGCGTAGTTTATCCCAGCACCCAGCACTTTCGTGCTGGTCAGAAAAGTGCAACAAGCAGAAGTCCTTAAAGTATGATCACAGTCATCATCTGGGAACTTGTTGGAAACGTAGAATTTCAGGTTCTGGACAGACTGAATCAAAAACTCTAGAGTGGGTCCAAGTGGTTCTGATACATGACCATGTGTGAGAATCACAGATCTTCAGGGCTGAGATGGTGCTGACCACCTGATATGAATTGCCAACCTATGTATTATGTCTTTGCTATTACTTTAGAAATTCACAGTCTAGTTCAGATATAGTAAATTGATGGGAGATTTCCCATCTTTCTCCTGCATCTCAATTAAGCAGATAAAATATGAGACCTTTTGGGAGCCGATCTCAGCTTCATTCCTCCAGGAGGTCATAATCTAACGTTTACAGAACTAAACCAGAAAGAAAAGAAAAGCTAAAGAAATTATTAATCTTTCTGTGCTTGAATCTATCAGGGTGATCCCACATGTTGAAGAGACCTGTTTTTAGGGTCTTATTGGATGTAATCTTTATGGAAGGAGATTATCTGGGCTTCTTTTCAAAGTGCCACTGGGTAGATTTGAATCATCAAATTTTAAGTGAGTAATCATTCACCAATTGTTTGTGCCATGTAGGGATCTATGAATACAATACCTAGTGCGACTTCCTGCTTTGGTGGTGGTGGTTGTCTATAAATTGAATTCTACTAAAACCATTATGAGTCTCTGCATTAAGAGGTGGCCTGCTAAGCAGGGTCTGATTTACAAACGTTAGTTGCTATTGGGAAGCTGATTGTATAATATGACATTTTAGAAGTCTCCTGGACTTGTGGTGTAGTGGTTGAAGATGTTCTGTTCTCCTCTACAGCCCTCTGTAGTCAACATAAACTCTACATCAGTCTGGATTATTTTCTATTAAAATATATGCCCACTTTTATATCCCCCCGAACAAGTTCAGATCACAGGGCAAACTCTTTAGGACAATCCTCTAACTACATCTACCATTGACTAAAATAGTAAATAAAAAATACTTACCCTAGAATTTTATTAGTTTCATCCAGTTCTATTAATGTTTTCTTTAAGGATTCTATTTCAGAATCAGTACTTGCAATATTTTGGTATAATTTATTTATCTCAAAAATATTTGATTTGCGAGCATCTCTGACACATTCTTAAAAGTAAGTAGAAACATTAATTGAGCAAAAGTGTAAGTGTAGATAAAACATAAACAAATTAGATCATCTCTGAAATACGTTTTCATCCTGTCCTGATACTAGATGCCTCCAACTCACCACTTTAGTTCCTCTCAGTCTTACCGGCTCCTAATTGCTCATGCATTTCTCAGGTTCTGGCCTAGGGATACCCAGCTGCCTCTGCCTTGGGACTTCTTTAGACAGCTTACATCTGTGCATGTGTAACCTGGAAGTGTGAGAGGTTGGGCAAGGCGTGTCATGCCTTAGAGTTTAGTGCAGAGCCATCCAAGGAGGTATCAAGGACCAGGCTGTTCACTGTGAAATATCTCACTAATGGCTCTCTACCATGAAGCTACCCAAAAGGGGTCTTGAGTGGAGCTTCTGACTACTACAGACTGTTGTCTGCCACAGGTGCCCGGCACTGGAGAAGTCACATGCCCTGTAAGAGTGTGCCAGGTGAAGCACATTGGAACCAGGAGGAGAACATCTTCCTTCTCCAATATTCCTCCAGGGCTCTCTACTAATAAAGCTTAATGTCATGTCAAATGGCAAGGAAGATAAAAACAGGGTCTATCTCCATTATCACAGAACAGACAATGAAGGAAACTAAGAAGCAATAAATGGAAACTGGAACATCTACTTAATTTTTTATTGTATCTTTTCTCTATTAGTAGCCTACTCACATAGAATTATTTAGGGAGATCTAGGAGCTTTGGTGGCCTAGTGGCAAGAAGCTGAGCTGCAATCCTGAAGGCATGTGGTTTGAATCCATGGGAGAAGGATAAGTAAGCGCCTTCTGTGCAGTTAACTGCCTCTGAAGACCCACCAGAGGCTCAGCTACAGGTCGGTTCAGACTTGCTGGTACACAACAGCAACAGTGGCTCAGTAGTAAGAATTTAGCTGTTAACTCAAAGGCATGCAGTTATAATCCATCAGCTGCTCCACGGGAGAAAGATGGGCAATCTGCTCCCATGTGATTTACTGCCTCTGAAAACTCACTAGAGAGTCAGCCATGAGGAGGTCCTGACTTGATTATACTTAACACCACTGAACTATTTCTTAAAAAGGCTGCAGTATACATCAATATTTATCATAATGGCAATATTTCTATATTGCAAAGGAATTGTTTCTAGCTTCTATATTCTATTTATCTGTTTATCTATATAAACAAACAAGCAAAAAGACCCAAACCTGCTGCACTGAGCCAAGTTGATTCTAACTACAGCAAGCCTACAGAATAGAGAGAGAGCTCTCATGGTCTAATCCATAGAGAGTTTATGCTGCTAACCCAAAGGCCTCATCTTTATTGAAGTTCAAATCCACCAGTCTCCTCTCATGACATTTACAGTCTTGGAAACACAACAAAGGAGAGTCAGCTATGAGTTGGTTCAGCCTTGATAACAGTGAGTGTAAGTAGAATAGAACTGTTCCAGAGTTTCTAAGGCTGTAAATGCTTGCCTAAGCAACCTGCCACATCTTTCTTCAATGGGGCAGCTGGTGGCTTCACATCACCCTTTCCGTTAGCAGCTGAGTGATTAGCAACTTAAGACATCAGGTTTTCTTTGTCTATTCTTGCATCAGATCACACTGCTTTAATGTATGTTGTTGTTAGGTGCCATCAAGTTGACTGTAACTCATAGCAAGTGTATGAACAGATCAATGCTATCCTCATGATCTCTGTCATCCTCAAGTCCTTGGTGGTAGTCACGGTGCCAACCCTTCTCATTGAGGGCTAATACCATTTGTTGTTGCTGCTGTTATGTGGTGTCAAGTCACCTGTGACTCATAGCGACCCTATGTACAACAGTCCTAAATCCTGCTCTGTCTTGTGCCAAATTTATTGTCTCCAACACACTTATCCCCATTACCCCAGTCACCAACTCAATCCATCTCATCAAGGCTCTTCCTCTCTTGCGCTGTCCCTCCACCCTCCCAAACATGACATCCCTCATCAAAGACTGGTCCCTCCTTGCAATGTGTCCGAAGTATGTCAGAGGAAGCTTCAGAATCCTTGCCTCCAAGGAACAACCTAGTCTCTCCTTTTCTAGGATGAACCTGTCTGTTTTCCTAGCAGCCCATGGTATATACAACACTCTTCAGCACAACAGCACAAAGGTTATCAATTCTCCTTCTACCATCCCTAGTCATTGTTTTTTTGATATTGACCTTCAGTCCATATTGAAGGCTGCAGTCCTTGATAATCTGTAGCAAGTGCTTCAGATCTTTTTCAGTTTCAACAAGCAGGACTGTGTCATCTGTATAACACAGACTGTTGATGAGTCTTCCTCTAATCCTGATGCTATATTCCTCCTCATACAGCCCAGCCTCATGGATAATCTGTTCCATATATAGATTGAAATATATGGAGATAGGACACATCCCTGCCATACACCCTTTCCAATTTTGAACCTTGCTCTGTTATAACAACTGCCTCCTGATCCAAGTATAGGTTTCACATAAGCCCAGTCAGGTGTTCTGGGATTCCCATTCTTCTCAGGGTCAGCCACTGTTTGTTGTGATCTACACAGTCAAATGCTTTTGCATAGTCAATGAAACCCAGGTAGACATTCCTCTGGTACTCCCTGCTTTCAGCCAAGATCTATCTAAAATTAGCTATGATCGCCCTAGTATCATGGCCTCTTCTAAACCCAGCCTGCACATCTGGAAGTTCTCTGCTGATGTGCTATTCCAGTAATTTTTAAATAATTTTCAGCAGAAACTTGCTAGTATGTGGTATTAATGATACTGTTTGGTAATTTCTGCACTCAGTTGGGTCATCTTTCTTTGGAATGAGAACAAATATAGATCTCTTCCAGTCAGTTGGCCAGGTGGCTGTCCTCCAGATTTCTTGACACAACTTGGTGAACACATCCAGGACAGCGTTGGTTTATTGAAATATGTCAACTGGTATGCCATCAATTCCTGGGGCCTTGTTTTTTGCCAATTCTTTCAAAGCAACTTGAACTTCCTCCTTCATCACCACATTCGCACATACGTTGTTTCATAAAATTCTTCTGTGTCAGCCATTTCCTTTTGGTACAATGACTCTGTATACTCTTTCCACCTTCTTTTAATGCTTTCTGGATCATTTAATATTATGCCCAAAGCATTCTTAAGTATTACCACTTGTTGTTGTTAAGTGCCGTCGGGTCTCAGGTGACTCATTAAGTATTACCACTTGTTGTTGTTAAGTGCCGTGGGGTCTCAGGTGACTCATATCAACCCGATAAAGGAGAGTTTTTGACGCTTGGGTGCCTTTCATCCTCTCTCCAGGTTCATAGGGTTTCCAGAGGCAAGCTATTATGGAAGTGGATGCCATTCCTCCTTCCAAGTTTGTTTTAGTTGGGGACCTCCACCCCATTCTCTGTCCACATTGGGTAGCCAACCCTTAACGCATTTGACACATCAGTGTCACAGAGTATTACCAGCAGTGGCTTGAATTTGTTCTTCAGTTCCTTCAGCTTAAGAAATGCTGAGTGAATTCAGCTCGATTTTCTGATCCCAGCTCTTTGCACATTTCATTATAATACATTGCTTTGTCTTCCGAGCTATCCTTTGGAATCTTCTCTTTAGCTCCTCAATATCTTGAGTTCTTCCCATAGCTTTGGCTTCCTTTTTTTCCCCTTTGCTTTGCTTTGGCTTATTGCTCTAGTGCAATATTCAGGGTCTTTTCTGACATCCATCTTGGTCTTTTCTTCCTCCTCTGTCTTTGTAATGACCTTTTGCATTCTTCATGGAAGATGTTCTTGATATCTCACAGCTCATCTTGTCTTTGCTCACCATAGCTATATAATAAATCTTACTGTTTCTTATATATTACTTCTCATCTTATGCATCTTTTTCAAGATTATCTTAGCTCTCTAAATTTGGTCCTTTATATTTCCATGTGAAGCAGGAGTGGCATCCACTTTCTAAACAACTTGCCTCTGGAAACTCTATGAACTTTGATAAACGTTGACAGTTGAAGAAGGGCTTCAGGCATTTTGTTCATAGGTTTGCTATGAGTCATGCTCGATGTGAAGGCAGTCAACAACAACAGCAACATATTTCCATGTAAATTTTAGAATTGTCTTCCACATAATAACCTGCCAGATTTTTTACTGGCTTTAGAAGAAGAATCAATGCTTTTGAGTTGTAGTGCTAAAGAGGATTGAACATATCATAGACCAGGAATAAAACAATTAAGTCTGTCTTGGAGAGGGTGAAACCAAGTTTCTCCTTGGAGGCTAGGATTTTGAAGCTCAGTTCACATACTTTGGGCATGTGGCCAGGAGGGACCAATCCTTAGAGAAGGATATCATGCTCAGAAGGGTGGAGGGGAAGGAAAGGAAGACCCCAGGTGAGATGGATTGATGCAGTAACTGGGACAATGGGGGTTGGTATGTCAGAATCAATAAGACTGGCTCAGGACAAGTTGCATGCAACTTGACAGCACATAACAATAACAACCTATTAAATGTAAAAACCAATTTATGTTAACATTTTTATAATTTAGTCCTTAAAATATGTTTTGTAGATTCCTGATTACCTGTCTTTTATATCTTTCTTTAGCTGTGTTCCTAGGTTTTAATAACTAAAAAATAAAAACCATCATTTTTACAAAATCTTTTCTTAGTATTTTAAAGAATACACATTGATTGGCGAAGTCACCTAGCTTTGCAATTTAAGCTGGTCATGCTTCATAATTTAACTGAAGATATACCAATTTGAGATGTGTTGATGCTCTCATCTTCAATCTACTGAGAAATAAAATTCTAAATATTCAGTGTTTATGTACATACCTATTATTTCCACAGCACTTGTATAATATGTATGAGCACTGATGACTTGGTGGAAAGAAGTTGCACTGCAATCTTAAAGACACATGGTTCAAATCCACCAGAAGCTCCGGCGGGAGAAGGATGGGTAATATCCGCCTGTCCAATTAGCTGCCTCTGAAAACCCACCTGAGGGTCAGCTATGGGTCAGTTCCAACTCAACAGTACACAATAACAGCAACAACTAGAAAAGCATTACAAATCTGTTTTTCCGTTGTGCATTCTTTCTTCCTGTATGTGACATGTGATAACTATCAACATTATTTAATCCAAAGTACTAGATTCTATATTTTCACAAGGTAAATTTCTACAATTAATAACCCTAAAAGTACCTTCCATTTCTCTGTTAAAGCACTTGGGAAGAGTTTCCAATAGAAAATATAGTCTGCTGAGTTCCATGGTTTCAATTTCTAGAAGATCAATTGTGGCTTTTCTCATTTGTTCCTGAAAATTTAAGTAGCATTTTAAAGAGTTAAGACAGTAAAACAATAAGATTTATTTCCTAAACAATGCATTATGTGTTCAGAGCTTCAAATGGATTTTTGTAAAACATCTTCAAACATTATTCCTATTTGAAGAAGAAAATGGGGCAATTGTATACTCCAACGTCAGTGTTCAAGGTTGGTTTTGTGGGTTTTTTTAATTTAAAGGAACTGGCAGATACAGAAGAATTTAGTGAAATAACATATGAGCAAGAGCCTATGATGATGAAGAAGTTGAAGCTGCTTTGAAAGAAATAGCAAAATATAAGGGCCCAGGAATAGGTGGTATACCAATTGACCTATTTTGGCTAACAGATGCTGCTCTGGATGTGCTCACCAATTTGTGCCAAGAAATTTGGAGAACAACCACTTGGCCAACTGATTGGAAGAGATCTATATTTGTTCCCATTCCAAAGAAGGGTGACCCAACAGAGTGTGGAAACTGCAGAACAATATCATTGATTTCACATGCAAGCAAGAATCTACTGAAGATTATCCAAAAACGACTGGAACAGCACATCAGCAGAGAATTGCCAGAAGTCCAGGCTGGGTTTAGAAGGGGTAGGGGTACTAGGGATATTATAGCTGATGTTAGATGGATCTTGGCTGAAAGCAGGGAATACCAGAAGAATGTCTATCTGTGTTTCATTGATTATGCAAAGGCATTTGACTGTGTGGATCATAACAAACTGTGGCTGACTCTGAGAAGAATGGGAATCCCAGAACATTTAATCGTGCTAATGCGAAACCTATACTTGGACCAAGTGGCAGTCATCAGAACAGAGCAGGGTAACACTGCATGGTTCAAAATTGGGAAGGGTGTACGCCAGGGATGTGTCCTGTCTCCATACCTTTTCAACCTGTATGCAGAACAGATTATCTGGGAGGCTGGGCTCTATGAGGAGAAGTGTGGAGTCAGGATTGGTGGAAGATCTATTAACAATCTGCGTTATGCAGATGACACAACCCTGCTTGCTAAAACTGAGGAGGACGTCATGCACTTGCTGCAGAGGGTCAAGGACTGCAGCCTTCAGTATGGACTGAGGCTCAATGTCAAGAAGACAAAGATTCTCACCACTGGACCAATTGGTAGCATCAGGATGGATGGCGAAGAGATTGAGATTGTTCACAGCTTCAGTTTGCTTGGCTCCATGGTCAACACTCTTGGCACCAGCAGCCAGGAAATAAAAAAACGTATTGCGATGGGAAAGTCTGTTGTTAGGGACCTCTCTAAAGTACTCAAGAGCAACGGTGTCTCTCTTGAGATTAAGGTGTGCCTAATATAGGCCATGGTCTTTGCAATCACTTGTTATGCATCAGAGAGCTGGACAATGACTAGGGAAGACAGAAGGAGAATTGATACCTCTGAGCTGTGGTGCTGGAGAAGAGTACTGAATGAACCCTGGACTGCCAAGAAAACATATTCATCCTAGAAAGGGTTAAACCAGGATGCTCCTTGGAGGCAAGGATTCTGACATACTTTGGACATGTTGTAAGGAGGGAGAGGTCCTTGGAGAAGGACACCATGCTTGGAATGGTGGAGGGACGGCGCAAAAGGGGAAGACCCTCTATGAGGTGGATTGATTCAGTGACTGGGGTAATTGGGATGGGTGTGTCAGAGGCAGTGCGATTGGCACAGGATGGAGCAGGGTTTAGGGCTGTTGTACAGAGGGTCGCTATGAGTCACAAGCGACTCGACGGCACATAGCAACAACAACAGGTAGAGCTAGTTTACCAAAGGAAAAAAAGAATTTCAAAAACAATTGTTGTTGGTGTGGTGTTTACCATAGAGTTGGAAGCAACCCACAGTTGAACGTCTGGTGGGTTTTCAGAAGCAGTTAATTGCATGGGAGGAGATTCTTTTTTGGTGGAGCAGCTGGTGGCCTCAAACCACATGCCTTTAGAATTGTAGCACAGCTTTTTGCCACTAGACCTCCAGAGCTCAAAAACCAACTGGGGAAAGGGGCAGAAAGTAGTGCATCCTTTAAATAAATGATGGCTAAAAAAGCTACTATATGACTTGACCATATGTAAAAGTAAGTTTCAATGGTATGCATGATCTGAAAACAGAAAGGACATTTATCAAAGATTTCATTATAATTATTTTGGGAATGGATAGTAGAGATGGATGTACAATATAAAAACTAAACTTTGACCAAGTTGATTCTAACTCAGAGTAGAATTGCTTCATAATGTTTCTACTACTATACTTTTCTCTTGAGTGGCTGGTGCATTCAAACTGTTGACCTTTATGTTAGTGGCTGAATGCTTAGGCACTGTGTCACCAGGGCTCCTTTGTGCAATATGTTGTCCATTGCCTTCGAGTCAAGCATGACTCATAGCGACTCTGTGAACAAAAGGCCTGAAGCCCCTCTAAAACAATCAACATTTATCAAAGTTCATAGTTTCTGGAGGCAGTATGGCTAATATAATTACTGTCATTATATTGTATAGATAAAAAAAATTGTCTTAGAACAGCTTAAAAGGAATATATGCTTAAAAGGAATATAGCTTAGGTATTATTTGCATAACAACAGTCGAGAATAAGAGCTACATCATAAAGTGGACTGGGATGGGAGTGGAGAATTGTACAGCAATGAAATAATTTTTTTTCAAAGAGAAAATGAACTTTGGGGAGGGGAGCAGGGAGGAAAATATGCAATAATGAATGAATGAATGAATGGAAATCCAAGTTCTCTATAAACTTCCATTAAAATATCAAAGAAATTGTCTTAGTGGTTTTATTGGTGATATATTTTCACTTTCTTCTTTCTGCATATTTATTTTTCCCTAAAATTTTCAGAGTATACATGCATTATTTTAATAATAGTGAAAATGTGTTACTTTTCAAAGTGAAGAAGAGATTTTTCTCAGCTATTTAAGGGATTGGTTATAGGATTTAAATATTAAATTGAGTCAAGCTGGATAATTAGCCATAACATGTTTTCACCCCTTCAAGTTCTGAGAAAAAGCATTCTTAAATGAACAGAGGTGGGGAAAGTTTTAATAGGATCACAGTATGGCATTGCATATTAAAAAACCTTGTGCTTCCATACATTATGATGAAGTTTAATAGCGTAATTGTAGTTAAGTACATACACATACACACAGAGCTTGTGGTAAGAAGGTGCACCGTCAACCCTAAGGTGCACAGTTTTAATCCACTTTTTCCTTGGCAGAATGGTGGGAAATCTCTTCTTGTGTGATCCCTGAAAACTTGTTGGAGGGTCAGCTATAAATCACTTCTGACTCAGTGGTACATTAACATATATGTGAAATTTGTAAAATAATTTTCATCATCACTTGGTTAGACCAAACTCATTTACCTCCGTATCTCGACATATTATAAATATTTTTTTCCATAGTATATTTTTAAATCTAATGAAGAGCCTTCACAATTCTGACCAGCTCAATCATTAACCAGTTCTGCTTCTCATAAGTGAATCTAGCATCATCTATAGAACAGGCCTGTTATTCCATGTTCCAAATGACAGGAAAAAAGCAGTATTTTTGCTTCTTCAACAGCTGATTCAACACTGGTGCAAATACTTAGTAACGTGAGAGAAAATATTTTTAAATTGACGCTAAATATTTTCCCTATTCATTTTTTGAAGTACCTTGAACAGATGGGTAACCAAATCAAACCTTTTTCTGCAGCCAGTTCTGACTCATAGGGACCCACGTGGTACAGAGTAGAACTATATCCCATGACATTTTCTTGACAGTAACCTTACGGAAGCAGATCACCAGGCTTTTCTTCCATGGTATCATCAAATAGGTTTGAACTGCTAACTTTTTGGTCAGTAACTAAGAACAAATTTCGCTCCCCAGGACCTTCACTTTGAAAAGACTCAGTGCTAAATTAAAGTTTGATAATAAAGTACATGGAAGCATTAAAAAAATAGCTTTATACATAATACAATACCAATTTTTTAACAGCTACAGCGATGTCCTGAAGAAAGATCCTAGCTGCTTCATCACATTTAAAATAGTCACTTTGCAGCGATTGTTCTAAAAATGAAGGAAAGAAAATTAAAATTGTATTCCAAATCAATAGTTTACAATTAGCTCTATTACTGACAATGAACTTGGATACTAATGAATAGTTGTACTTCTTCAACAGTCAACATTTTTTATGATACTTGTCCATGTCTATCTCATAAGAGTGGTGATATTAAATTCAAAACTTCAAAACTCACAGCTGTTGAGTCTATTCCAAGTCATGGACCCTTCTTCAGGTTTCTGAGGCTTTAAATCTTAAAGGGAGCAGGCTAACTCACCTTTTGTCTACTGAATGGCTGGTTGATTTGATCTACTGACCTTTTGGTTAGCAGCCCAGCACACAATGCACTAAGCTCCCATAGTTCCTTGTGATATTAATTTCAGTCCTTGGAGAAGGACATGGTGCTTGGAAGGGTGGACAAACAGCTCCGGAGAGGAAGACCCCAGATAAGAGGGGTTGATACAGTAACTGGGACGATGGGGGCTGGTGAGTCAGAGTTAGTGAGACTGGCTCAGGATAGTAAAGGGTTCAGAGCTGCTGTACATCGGGTCACTATGCATTACAGGAAACTCAACGGCACATAACAACAATAACATACTATGTCAGGTTTGGAACCAGGGGTGGAATCCACTTCCTAAACACCATACCTCTGGAAACTCTATGAACTTTGATAAATGTCAATAGTTTTAGAGGGACTTGAGGCCTTTTGTTCATAGAGTTGCTATGAGTTGAGCTCAACTCGAAGGTAATCAATAACAAAATAGAAAAAAAGAAACTATACCAAACTAATAATAATATTTAAGATCTAATTCAAATGCTTACTCAGTTGTAAAATACATCTTCTATCTCTGAATTTTCCTAGTTTTACATGGATCTCTTTTCTACTTAATATTTCCTTTTTAAAGTAAGTTCAAGATTCTTCTCCAGCACCACAGCTTAAAGGCATTGATCCTTCTTCTATCATCCTTAGTTGTTTTCCAGCTTTCTGATGCATAGCAAGTAGTTGTGGAGACCATGTCCTGGATCAGGTGCACTTTAGTCTTTAGACTGACATCATTGCTCTTCAGCACTCTGGAGAAATAACTGACAGCCGATTTTTAAGGTCATAGTGCTGATTCATGGTGGAGTCTGGATACCAATAGGGTAGTTCTAGGTTCTTGTCCTTAATCCTCATTCTTGGAAGTGTAAAGAATAATTTCTGTTCTTTGTTTCAGGCAATTTGGGCTCACTTAAATAATCTAAGCTCTCAGACCAAGTGAAAATCACTTACTGAATTTGTGAGCAATTAAGTGTGTGTAAGAGAGACAGGGTTTTGTAAAGGATCTCTCTCTTTTAAAGTGAAATAAATGAGCACACACTTGTTTCTGCTTGCATACTCAGATCAGGAAGACTTAATGATATTTTCTCCTGTGAAAAACTTCATGCAGGTCCAGAAATCATTATTTGTGATTAACACGAGAAATGAAATAACTTGGTGACCGAGAGATAAAACCAGAGATGAACAGCTCCAAACTATCTCTATCCTAAACAATGACCTTAGACACTTGGGAATAATTTACTCTCTCTGGGTCAATATCTTTTATAATGAACTTATCTAAACCTATTCCACAAGAATTATAACATGAAATTAGTTCATCTAAAATGGGGTAAAGAAATCCTACCAAATCAATGGTAGTATTATACTAAAAACTAATAGAATTATCCTTAAGTAGCGAAGCAATGAATATCTTATTATTTGGAATAAATAGGTTTTCATATGAAGAAACAATGCTTTTTCTTGGAACATGTTTTGTCCTAAATTTAGGTGGCTTAATTCCAAGCTCAGCTCTTGTAAGTGAAGAAAAATTTTAATCTGGCCCCAGTTAAGATACTTCTCTGTTCACATTTCCTAAACGTGCTTTTTCCAGGTAAAAGAGCATCCAGATTTAATTCACACCACATGCTCATCTGTTCACCAAAAGGTTCTTATCCATCCACCACTATGTAGAGGAAAGATGAAGCAATTTGCTCCTGTTAAGATTTGTTGTTCTTGTGTCCTGTCCTACTCACAGCTGCCACACAGCGGGTTTCAGAAGCCGTAAACTGCACTGGAGAAAATGGTCTGTGTTTTTCTTGCCTCAGAGATTTTATAACCTCAGAAATGTCACAGAGCAACTGCATGAGCGGGAATGGATCCCCCATGTCAGTGAGTTTGATGTTTGTTGCTGCTTTAATAGAACAAGTGCCACTTTGACACACTTTTTCTTATTTGTGTGTTAAGTTCTCCAGTTTTCACTGGCAAAATAATGGAGGAAATTAACTTGCAATGGAAAGGCAGTAAGGGACAAGCAGAAATCCAATATACAGTCTAAAGGCAGATGGAATCTTCCCTATTCCTTCACCCACTCTCATTCACCCACTAAACTCTGCAACCCTATTGATTTCCACCCTTTTCCTTTTTCCACTCCCTTCATCCTTTCCGTTTTTGGATACTTAACACACATCTAACTAGTTGTCCTAGTTTTTCAATTATGGTCTCATGCAGTATTTGTCCCTGTGAGAATTTGTCCACTTGATATAATGCCTAGACTCTCCTAAGTTAAATAGTATTTCACATTGTGTTTGTTCCTTAGTGCTGCAGAGTGTTCTATTGTGTGAATATACCACACTTTCTCACTCCATTTGTTTGTTGATTGGGCTGTTTCCATATTCTTGCTATTGTGAATATAGGTGCTATAGAAAAGATTCAATGGGGATTGCAAAGGACAGGGTAATAATAGGCATTGGATTAATTACATAAAACGCAATGTATATGAATGTATGAAACACAATGTAAAAGAAAGATTGTATAAAACAATGTACAGGAACGAAACACAATGTAAACGAATTACTGTATGCAAACCAATTTTAAAAATTTGGGGGGAAATAACCCCAACAAAAAGGAAAAAAACTCACAACCACAAAAAATGGGCAGATGGATAAGCCTGCAGCTTGCAACAGGCAAGAGAGGGCAGAAGGGCAATGGCCTGGAAGTCCAGGATCCAACCGGAGTCCGCTCCCGGGCCGGCAGCAAGTGCTGGCGCCGCCCCCTGCCGGCTCCCCAGCCTCGGAGGAGCCAGGGGGCTCCAGCAGCCGAGAGTGCTTCCAGGGAGGGTTCCCATTGAGGGCCGCCCGGCTCCACCCTGGAGGACGAGCTCCTTTCCGACAAGCTTCTCACCCACAAATAAGAGCTGCTCCAGCGCGGCGGCCGCGACCGAGGAGCCCAAGGTGGCGGGGACGACGCATAACTCCAGGGAAGGGCCGGTGGAGACACCGATCTCCTGTCCCTTTTCAGCTTTCGCCTGCTCAGTCACCGTCAGCACCTTTTTGCCTGAGACGTTAGGGTCAGACGAGCAGGGGCTCAGTGACATCTTGCTGTTTTGGAGCGCCGCCAAGGCAGCCAGCGCTGTGGAGGCCGGTTGCCACTGGCAACGAGCTCGCTTTGGCCCTGGGCGCCCCCTGGCGGCCTGCACGGAACTGGGTACCTGACTGCTCTGGTCCCTTCATTCTTTAAAATTAAGTAGCCTTCCCCTCTTTGCATTTTCCCTTCTTTCCCTAGTTCATGGCCTGAATCTCTCTGGTTGACCACTAGGATTAGTACTGCTCACCCCCCCCCACCTTTTTTTTTTAAAGAAAATTTTTATTTTATATTGTTTTATTTACAAAGTTCATAATACATTGTTTTTCACGCGGATCTTTCCCCTTTCCTTTCCCCACTCCTCCCTCCACCCATCAAATTGTGCGATCCTATGATTAACTCCCACCTGCTCACCCCTCTGCTGCCCCCATTTCCCTTGGATCCTCATACACTTTCTACAATAATGGTCTTATACAATATTTGTCCTTATGGGATTGAGTTCACTTACCATAATGCTCTACAGTCCCTCCCAAGTTAGGAAGGAATTTACAAAATCATTGCTCCTGCATGCTGCGGTAGTAGTCCATCATGTGAATGTACCATAATTTATAACCATTAGTTATGTAGTATTTTTCAAAATTCTTGCTGTTGAGTGCTGCATGATACTCCTTTGTGTGGTTGCACCACAATTTCTCAATTCATTCAGTTTTGGCATTTGGGCTGTTTCCATGTTCTTGTGATGGTGAATAATGCTGCTATGAACACTGGAGTACAAGTCTCCATTTGAGCCTCAGTTCTCATTTTCTCAGGGTATATATTCCAAGGAGTGGACTAGCTGGGTCATATGGAATTTGTATTGTTCAACAATGTTCACCTTTTGAGTGTGTTTCTAAGGCAGATACTACAGAAGGGATTTTATATACAGAAGTGTTCAGTAGTTTCACGACTTTGTGAAGAGAGGTTTGTGTTTCTGGTAGTGTGTTTGCTTCTGGATTTTTGTTGTTGTTTTGTTTTTTTGTTTTGCTTTTGTTTTTATAGATGAGGAAAATGAGGCTACGATGCCTAAATGAACTGTCCAAGATTACAAGAGAACACTTTTAAGTTCAAAGCAGCATCTTTATGAATCTTTCCTCCAAATTGAGCAAGAATCTCAAAGGTCTAGTCCACCAACTGCTCAACAGTAGAAGTGAAGGGGCAGCAGAAAACCCATTTTTTATTAACCCCCATTAGGGCTGGAGGCAGAAGCAGGCCATAAACATTCTTGGCTTAGGGCAAACACGAGTGCCCCAGGTAAAGCCTAGTCTGTCCTTGAAAAAGTAAGGAATTAACTAGTGTCTACGTGACATAAACAGAGTAAAGGCGGGCAAAGTAACCAGCCCATCAAAAGCCGACCAAATGACTGACCCCCCTGGCCCACCAATCTCTTTGCCCTAGCAGGGGCACTCAAGAAAAAGCTATAAAAGCAAGTGAGAGGGAAAACTCGGGGCCTTTTTCCTTCACCACCATCCTGGGGAAGGGAAAGGGCCTCCGCGCATGGAAAATTAAATAATAAACGCTCTTGAAATGTCAGATGTGCTTTTGGATTTCTTTGAGGGGCATTTTGTGGGCACAACAGAAGGATGGACAGGGAGGAGTTCTGCCTGATTAACTGACTCTGAAAATTCACTGAAGGGTCAACAATGGGTCAGTTCAGACTCAATGCACACAACAATAGTATCTCCTTTTTGGGTGTTCTGGTGACAGGGTAAAAGGTTGTGCTATCAACCCAAATTTAGCAGATCTAATCTGCTGCTCCATGGAAGAAAAGTGGGCAATAATGAAATGATAGCCTCTGAAAACCCGCTGGAGGATCAGCTATGAGTTAGTTCCAACTGAATGACACATAACAACACATCTTCTTAAAACTTTGCTTCTCTTGGTTCACATCTGCTGTTCATAGGGTCACTTTGAGTCTATTCAACTTGAAGGCAACTAACAACAACAACAGTATGCATCTGTGGATTACATCTATCTCTTAGTTATATCTATAAATTATTATCTATATGTGGAGTTTATATCTCCACATCAATAAAAAATAAAAACCTTCACCATTAGACCAAAAGATAATCTCATGATAGACAAAGAAAAAAAAAATAAGTTGTCAAGGATTTAATTTTATTTAAATCCAGTCAACAGTTATGAATGCAGTAGTCAAGAGGCCAAAATATGTGTTGCATTGGGCAAGACTCTTGTCAAGAACTTCTTTAAAGTACTAAGGAGCAGAGATGTGAGTTTAAAGATTACAGTGTGCCTGACCCAAGTTGTGATATTTTTCATTGCTTTGTATCCATGTGAAAATTGGCAATGAACAAGGAAGACCAAAAAGAATTATTGATACCTCTGAATTGTGGTGAAGAGTACTGTGAAAAGAACAAGCAAATCTATCTTGGGGGAAGTGCAACCAGTGTGTTCCTTAGAGGCGAGGATGGTGACATTTCTCACATACTTCGGTCATGTTCTCAGGTGGGGCCAGTCCTTGGACAAAGACCTCATACTGGACAAAGTAGGGAACTGGCAAAAGAAAGGAAAACCCTCAATGTGATGGATTGACCCAGTGACTGCCACACTGGGCTTGAGCCTCTGATAATGAGGATGGCGCAGGACAGGGCAAATGTTCTGATCTGTTGTTCATAGAGTCACTATGATTGTTATAGTCAACAATAGTACTGTCACTGATCACATATTGTCTTGAATCAGTGGTTTTCATAGGGTCATTATGATTGTTGTTGTTGTTGTTAAGTGCCACTGAGTCGTAAGCAACTCCTAACGGCCCGATGAACGAAAGTCCTGGACACTTGCATGCGTGACTTTGATCCTTTCTCCAGGTTCATAGGGTTTCTGGAGGCAAGCTATTTACGGAAGTGGATGCCACGCCTGCTTCCAAATGCTATCACTGATCACAGTTTGCCTTGTATCAGTGGTTTTCTTCTGCTTTTGTCTTTCTTCCCATCAGACTAAGAAATCTTTGAAGGTGGGGCTAGGTTCCTTTTTTTTCTGTCTCTCCAAATGCCCGCATAGCCTTGGGCTCAGATGGCTATGATCCTTAGTTTGCTTTCCTCTGCAGCAGCAATGGTGGCGTATTCTGCAGGGAACTGCACTGCTAACCTAAAGGTGGCTGGTTTGACTCTATCAGTGCCTCTATGGGAGGAAGATGAGCATTCTCTTCCCCTGTGATTTACAGCCTCTGAAAACTCAATGGACATTCACAATGGACAGTCGGCTATGAATTGGTTCTGATTTAATGGTGAAATGGAAATCAAAGTAATAATAACAATAGCAATAGTTAATAATTTGTTAAGTGCTTACTATGTTCCAGGTACTGGTCAAAGAACTTTATCTACAGTATCTTTACCCGCTTAACAACCTTATTCTGCAAAAGAGCACGCTATTTGAGCCTGTGTCCTGAAAACCATACTGTATGGCCTTGGAGAGGAACCAGCACACTGAAAACAGAGCTGGTTCCAGAACACAGGCCTCTTCCTCCAGCGAGAACCGTGTCTTAGCCTTGGATACCTTCCTGGGTTTCCTATTGTGCTGGAGTTGGTCTATTGCTATTCTGATCCAATTCCTCTCATACTGTGCTCTCTTCTGTGTGGCAGGGGCTAGAAGCCTGGAACTACATTTCCCAAATGCCCTTGCAAACTAGTTTCCTGTCAAACTCTCACTCTGGTGAGATATTGTGAAACAGAGATGTCATTCCATTTCCTCTAGGTTTAGTCTCAAGCCACCACAGATGGCTATAGGACTTAGTCATTTTAGTGGCTCCAGAGCGGACAGCAGGGAGGATAGGCAGGTCCTGCTGGCAGAAGTGGTGCTAACAGAGTAGCGCCTCCAGCGGTTTCTGGTGCTCACTACTAAGTCCGGAAGCACAGGCATTCTTTTAGGATCTCTAGAATCATCTTTACCTTCTTGTCCTTTTCCCCTATCTCTCTTATAAGTCTTTCTCTATTAAATTCTTGTCTGACTGAACTATCTAGACTGTATGTACCCTGATTCTCAAGACAATCTCCATGTTGTCACCAGTAGAAATGAAGGCCAATCCCCAAGGGAGCATCCAGGGTCACCTATTGGACTTGTTACATGTTTTCTGACTTTTTAAAAATAGTGCCTCTTTTCCCTTTTTTAAAATGAGTTCTGGTATATTGGACAAAGTGCAGCCAGAGTGATCTTCAGAGGCAAAGACGGAGGACTTCATCTCATTTACTTTGGATATGTTGTTAATAGAAGGTATACCTTAGAAAGGGACATCATGCTTGAAAAGGTAGAGAGTCAGCAAAAGAAGGGAAGACCCTCCAAGAGATGGATTGATGCAATGACTGCAACAATGGGCTAAGTATATCAGGGATGAAGGGGATGGTACACTATAGAACAGGGTGTTGCTCATCGGTCCGTATGAGTCCACCTCAGCTGTCACCTCAAAACAACAGTAATGGTGGCACTGGGACTGAAAAATTAGGCTCCAAGCCAAAATGTTAGTAGTTCAAAGCCACCAACCACATCAGAGAGAAAGATGTGTAACCTGCTTCTGTGAAGATTTACCACCTCGAGCAATGGGCTTGAGTATGTCAGAGACTGTGAGATTGGCATAGGACAGGAGTTATAGTCATACTCAACCACATCTAACAGAACTACAGTTTACAATACTAAGTTCATAATAATCTGTAACAGGAACAGTAGGTAATATTACATTTTTCTTTGTAATATTTATTTGAATTTTTACTTAAGAAGCATATACACATAACTAGAAAATTAAAGAAATTTAAGATTGTTAAAATGATTAAATTAAGTGAGCATTTAATGTCATACTTGGCATATTTATTTAAAAATACTTAGAGGGGAAAAACCATACAAATTTAAAATTAATTAAAGATGGTTTCTGGTTCTTCAGTATTTATAGATAGCGTCCAGTGGGCCAAAACCCCATGGCTCACATCTTTCATGCACCTTTTACTTGAAACACAAAAGGAAATGCCC